CGAACAGCTGCTCAACGATATTGGATCAAATAACAATTCATGTATTCGTTACTATAGACACGCAAACGAACAGCTGCTCAACGGTATTGGATCAAATAACAATTCATGTATTCGTTACTATAGGCACGCAAACGAACAGCTGCTCAACGGTATTGGATCAAAAAACAATTTGTGTATTCGTTACTATAGGCACACAATCGAACAGCTGCTCAACGGTATTGGATCAAATAGCAATTTGTGTATTCGTTACTATATACACGCAAACGAACAGCTGTTCAACGGTATTGGATCAAATAACAATTTATGAATTCGCTACTTGAGCTATCGACCTCGACGAAATGTATTGCACCGTGCAGGTCTAATTAACAATTCTGAAAACAATCGCCCAATACAGTCTGGCTGTCAAAAAGAGTCGAAGAGACATCTCCACAGCGCTGTCGAACTTAAAGGAACAGTGTGCAATTGGCGGACTAATTCTGCATGATGTAAGTGCGTATCGTTGTTATATGCGCCACAGCTTGTATGTTAAAGGGAATCAGTTCGGCGAGATCTCAAATTGCTGAAAATGCAAATAGCGCAAACTCACACGAAAGCTTTAGCGCAAACTCACACGTAAGCTTCAAACCATACTACAGGTGACTCCGAATCCGGCATACACCACAGCCCCGTCTAAAGCAATTAGTCTAGGTAGGTTTCGTTAATATTAATATGATACGAACATCAAAAGAATTCCAAAGGATTCCTATAGTTGCGTTGGATGTGCGTGAATCTAGTTTTGATGAGTCCACTTAGCATAGTTGTTGCTGTGCTCATATTTCACGTTTGCTTCTCGATTGTAGCGGTGGCACAAATGAAGGCCCTACGCGGTCTCGTGAAACGATACCGAAATGAAGTTGTTGAACTGCAGCAGGCTTCAAAAAATGCCATGTAGATGTCGTGCAAAAAAAGGGTTTGACGGACATGCTCACAACTTCTGACAGACAGGCTTCAAGATGCGGTGTGGATGTCATGCGGCTGAGAACTGTGGGCATGTCGTGCCTCTATTAAACAACTGCTGAATAAGAAACTATTACAAAGCAAATTAATCAGAGCAACCCAAAAACTTACCCAAATGGAAGAAGCGTAATCGTGTGACAGTGCATTTCATGGATCAAATGATAGTATAATTTTATGCATACAATATAAGACGATAACACTTTATGTTCATATTATAATTTTATGCATACAATATATTAAAGTAAGTGGACGTCATTCACGATGACACTATTCATGTTCACTGAGAAAAAAGCGTGACATGGCGACGCTTTGCTAAAGTGAAGAAGCTTTATATTACCCATTCATCCGCAGATCTCCTACGCTGACTAGCATATCAGCTTCACCCATGACTGCCACTTGCTATCTAAATTACTGGTCACCATAATTTACAAACACCTCACATCACCCTCTTCACCGCCTATCATAGCCATCCACACCAGGTCCAAGCGGTCCTCCACTACCGCCGCCAGGTGCAGGCGCTGGGGCATAGGGCCCCCTTGCATTGGCCCAGCCATCGGCCGAGGGAGCCTCTGGGCCGCCCTGGTCATAGCCCATAGGTGGCGATTGGTCTTGTACGTAAGCATCTTCTCCACTACGCGCACGGTATATCATTGTACGAGGTGGCGGGGGGAATGGTGCGTGTTGTTGTTGTTGTTGTTGCTGCTGCGTCTCGCTGCGTGCATAGGGATGGTACTGGGCCGCAGCGTGGGGCTGGCCCATAAGCCCACGCACACCATTCATCCGCGGGTGAGGACTGCCTCTGCTGTCTCTTGGTAGCCCGTCAGGGGGGTACTGATAGCCCTCTCTGCCTTGCTGCATAGGCCCTCCGTGCGGCGGCTGCTCATGCATGTACCTGCCCTGTTGTTGCCTGTCATCCCAACTCCCAGGAGGCTGCATGTGCTGCCGTGCCTTGTCTCCGTCGTTGTACGCCACGCTGCCCCTTCCCTGTGCTTGTGGGTGTTGTTGTGACTGTGGATTACCGTACTCGTGCGGCGCAGACCAGCCGCCCGTCCGTGGCTCACTCTCTATGCGACGCTCAGCGCCATTCCCACGGGACTGAGGATCCATACACATTGACCCGGCCCCCCCATCCTGGTGGCCATAGTAACCATTCTCGGCGGTTCTTACAGCAAAACTCCCCTGGGTGCCCCCCTGTCCGTGCCAATAGGGCTGATTCGGACCATTCGGGTGCGGTCCGCCAGGACCGGATGGCGTGCCCATTCCCGAGCCCGCACCCGTTTCACCATACGGCAAGGCATGAGGTGGGATTTGGCCGTCCTGAGCGCTACCCTCTCCGTCTACCGCCACACCATTGTACCGTGGCGCCATACCCCGTTGCCCAGACCCAGCCATGGATGGGGGCGCATCGTCCTCCCGCGGGCTGCGTCCCTGAGGGTACGGCGCATGTCGTATCAGATGGGCTGTGGGGGGTGGGGGTGGGGGTGTTATGGATGCTTGTTGTCCTTGCATAGATTGCGCCCGCATATCCGACTGTGACCGCTGGTCCTGTAGCTGGGGTGCACCACCACCACTCCCGCGTGCTTGCTCGGGTGCACCCACATTGAGGACATGGGGCTGGGGCGGTGGCCCAGGCCCAGGTCCAAAGTCTTGACCAAGATGCGCGTAGCCTGGTTGTGGCGAGTATCTTGGCCCATTGGGGGGCGGTTGTCTGCCGTAGTAGGTTGGGGAGGCGCCCTCTCTGCCCCCACCGGTACTGCCCACCCGGAACATCGGGCGGCCCTGTCCAGGCCCCTCGCCATATGGACTCTTCTCACTGCCCAGACCCGACCCCATTCGGTGCGCCGAGTGCATCGACGGGGACGGTGAGTGTGAGAGGTGTTGTCCCGGTCCCAAATGGTTCGCGGGGTGCGAGCCCACGGAATCATAGGACGGGTGCTCCTGGCCAAGGCTGCCGGTGCTGCTTGCCTTGGCCATGTGGGTTGTGGGGAGGGCCCTGGGTACAGGGTGTGGGCTGAGTTGTTGAGGCTGCTGCTGTGGCATCTGCGCCCCAGACCGGTGCATAGCCACTGCCGGGGGCGGGGGCCGGGTCGGACCCTGCCACTGTGAGGTGCACCTCTCCACTCCGATAGTAGGGCCGATCCGTCCGCAATTGGGGTTGTTGTCACTCCCCTGCATGGCTTCGTCATTGCCCATCCCACTCATCTCCACATCGGGCCTGGCGGTGCCCCCAGACACCTCCCGTGAGCCGTCTACGTCCTGTATGTGGTGCGGCGGTGGTGGCAGCTTCGCGTCAGCGGGTCCAGGGGGGTCAGACACGCCGGAATGGGGGTTTAATAAGGGTCTATTGGTGCTGCCGCTGTCCGTCACCTCCGTCATCCACGGCTGGTGCCGGGCGTTGGCAGCTGACCGCAGGTTGCCTGCCTTATCCTGAGCGGTGGGATTGGCCGTGGTGGCCATGCCCATGCGCGGGTGCACCACGTCTCTCTCGTCGGGTGCGATTTGCAGATCAGTGATCCCGCCGGTGTCGGCAATGCCCCCGGCACGCGTGTGTAGGGTGGTGGTCTGCGCCATCCCCCCATCCGCGTGCATGGGGCTGTTGCGGCCAGATGTGTGTATGTCCATGTTCAGTGCGGGTGACAGGGGTGTCCTGTCCTCCGGCCCTGTCCCATTGGGCGTGTCGGCGGGTGCGCTTAGCGACGGCATGGTTGCGTCACGCGCGGGTGAGGCGATGTGTGACATGGGTCGGCTGCCGCCGGTGTCGACACTGGTGAGTGGCATAATAACACTCTCTTCTATCTTCGGAATCTGCGACTGGGCGCAAGCAAGAACACACGTATAATGAGACTAGGTGAAGGAGATATGGCGGTGGATGGCTGATAGGCGAATGCTTGCTCTGCGTACATACTTTCCTCCGCGGCATGTCGAGGCATGGGCCGACAAGACAAACCTACTATTGCTTTATGTGCCTGTGCTCCGTAAGGTGGCGAGCAGGGACTCTATGAAACATGCGTTATATATGCATAGCCCAACAACATCTGTATGTGTATTATACACATACATAGACTAACAACATCTGTATGTGTATTATACATATACATAGACTAACAACATCTGTATATGTACTATACACACGCATAGCTCATCTACACCTGTATGTATACAATCACAGACAAATACACATAGCACACGCTACCCAGATGCAAATGCATTCTGCACGCACATTTAAAGAAGTACTTACAAAGCTATCCACCGACGATGACATGGCTTGCAGAGCCGAGGCAGCCGCACTCGCATCCTCCGGCTGTACTTTCACCTTGGGGGGCCTCCCTCGCTTCCTGTGGGCAATAACCCAATGATAATGGAATACATCAGTGAGATTGCCATAGTGAACGGTACGAGAAAATAAGGTTTAGAAATACTGCGGGCCAGCATAGACATATAGTAGTTCGTATGGGTGTATATATAGCGGCATAAGGTTTAGACGCTTATTAAATAAGGTATAGGTGCTTATTAAATAAGATATCCATGCTTAATAAATAAGGTATCCATGCTCATTAAATAAGGTATAGCTGCTTATTAGATGAGGTATAGATGCTTATTGAATAAGATATAGATGCATATCAAATAAGGTATAGTTGCTTATTAGAGAAGGTATAGATGCTTATTAAATAAGGTATAGATGTTTATTAAATAAGGTATCCATGCTTATTAAATAAGGTACCCATGCTTATTAAATAAGGTATAGGCGCTTATTAAATAAGGTATCCATGCTATTAGATAAGGTATAGATGCTTATTAGATAAGGTATAGGTGCTTATTAAATAAGGTATAGATGGATACTAAATAAGGTATCCATGCGTATGGCGACAGCTAGAGTGTGAATAAATAAACACTGAGGTGTACTGACAGCTCTCAGAGCTTGCGCACGGAGCAGTGAGTGATGCGCACAGTCACGGTTCAGCTACAGTCGTCTACTAGAGAGCTCTCATCACAGACATTCGTATATCGCATGTGTGAACATCACTCGGATTGTGGTATGAATTTTGTTATAGCCACGCAATGACAACATGAGCCATGGATGGTATCGTTGAATTGCCTTGAACTGTGGGTGGATGTCTGATGTCTAAAGGAATAAATGGAAAGCGACTTGAAAGTGGCTGCGAGCATCTAGCAGCTGATTCTGATTCACCTAGTCCCAACACCGGTCAAACAAGTACTTGGTCGATAATGTCAGCATCCGGTTATGCCATATCCGTTGTTGATATGGTGTGTGTGTACCTGTGTGTGTGTGTGTGTTGTGTGTGTATATATGTGTGTATGTGTGTGCGTGTAAGTGTGAGTGTGAGTGTGAGTGAGTGTGAGTGTGAGTGTGAGTGTGAGTGCGGGTAGTGTTACTCTGCTCATGTCAGATCCACAACCCTACACCCTGCGCAAACAACCACACAAGCGACAAACCCTAAACCCTACACATACCTCGGCCCTGCAGCCAGGGGCGGCTCAAGCCCACGCGGCTTCGCACTGATGCTGGGTGACAACTCTTCTATGGGGATCATGGGGATACCCACCACCTCAGTGGAGGGCTCCAATTGTCCTGGAGGCAGTCCTGCGACCTCTTCGGTTAGGTGCACTAGGAAGTCAAACGGCGGGGTGCTGGTGATAACTTCTTTGAGGTGGGCTGCACCCATTCGTTTGGAGCTGTGGGTAGGGCGGAGACAGGCGAGGGATGAATACATCATACGGGCCGATGGAGTGTGTGATGCAAGGTGGTAGGTATGTTTGTGAGAGCTTCCAAGAGAGCTATGGATGACTCGATATTCTCATTATAAACGCCCTGCTTATGAACATGTACATCATACTTATGGACATCTGCATCATGCTCAGAGACATCTACACCATGCTCAAAGACATCTACACCATGCTTAAAGACATCTACACCATGCTTATGGCTTTGTACACAAGCGACGAACTTATCCGAATCAATATATGCAACGGACACACGCGATGATGGCCCGCGAGTCAAGTCACGAGTGGGTGTGCGAGCACTCACAGAGACATCGCACATGCGCACGTGGGACTACGACTGCTCAAAACGGGCTCTACAGTTTGTATGGCGTGCGAGATTAGACACAGGCCACACTTACACTGTAGTGTAGCGTCATTGCAATCCATGTTATGTTTCCGAGAATGAAACAACTAAAACATGCTATGGAGGCTGTGAAAGATAACTGAGAAGCTCTTGAGACATACATTTAAGTACGTGCTACACACGTCAAATAAGTAAACGTTTCACGTACACACACCACCAATTAGAATGGTAGACTCATACTAAATTCGCGTATAAGACATACCACATGTAACACACTACATTCGCGTATATGACATACCACATGTAACACACGTACTAAACACACTACATTCGCGTACAAGACATACCCTGACCGCCGAGCTACATCGGCTGTCTTCAAAATGATATCCTCCAGAAAGGTCTCCAGAGTTTTGGATATGACCACGGGTGTTGCCATAGCAACCTTGCCCACATCCTCATCGGTCTGCATGATACGCTTCACCCGCATCTGTACCGGAAATACGTATAAAGAAACGATTATTATAAACTCTGGGATTCTCGAACGACCACTCGTTAACCGCACATGCGGTGTCAACTGTGAAGTAAACATATGCCCACAAAGCAGACCCTCAAACAGACGTTAACTTTAAACTGTATCCTTCCAAGAAGCAGCAAATCACAGATAGGCCGTTCAATGAAACAGTTCTGATACGATACCAGATAATAGGAACATCATATAAGCACAGCATCACACACGGCTGATTATGCACCTAACCTTCCATTACAGACACACCCGCGTTCGCACGCACGCACGTTTGACATGATAAGGAAACGAGGAATGAATGAAGGCGCAAGCAAGCGCTGCACATACACGCAGGCATAACAGGTATCCACCTGACCACAAACAAGAGTGCTTCTCGGTTAATTGGACCACAAACGAGAGTGCTTCTCGGTTAATTGGACCACAAGCAAGAGTGCTTCTCGGTTATTTGGACCACAAACAAGAGTGCTTCTCGGTTAATTGGACCACAAATAAGAGTGCTTCTCGGTTAATTGAACCACAAACAAGAGTGCTTCTCGGATAATGAGACCACAAACAAGAGTGCTTTTCGGTTAATTGGACCACAAACAATAGTGCTTCTCGGTTAATTAGACCACAAACAAGAGTGTTTTTCGGTTGAAACAAGAGTGCTTCTCGGTTACTTGACACAGAGTTGAGAGATATTCAAACACAAGCAACGCCACTTTAGGACATATAGCCATTCGGAAACGGGATTTGACGCGTTGAAAACTGAACGGCATAAATATTCAGACATGTAACTGCATCTAAGTATGAACAGGTAGATGTATGCGAAACCAATCAACCGTTCACCTGAATAAATATGTACGTAGATCCTTTTAGGTATATTCGCATGTGCATCTTGACATATGAATTAATATATATATATATATATATATATATATATATATAATATATATATATATAATATATATATATATATATATATATATATATATATATATATATATATATATATATATATATACATACATACATGTATACATATGGTCCAGTTACTGTATACAACTACATACAAACAAACAAAAAACATTTATACATACATAGATATACATGCACATACGAATATACTTTATGCGTACATACTCTCATCACACACACACACACACACACACATATATATATATCTATATATATAAACACACATGTAAACAGACATATGTCATTAAATATGTATAAATTTATGTATATATAGGTTTGTATATACATACTCACATATTTATAGACTTATATACATTCATATATGTACAAATATACACACTATTCATACATCCATGCATACATACCAACTTACATATATATATATATATATATATATATTTATATATATATTTATGTGCTTGCAACGTGCAAACATCGAGATATGATTACGCTACTTACGACGGGGAAGCGGGCATTGTATTTTTTCTTCATCTTGATGGACTGTATACCAGGTTGTTATGGTATGTCGACGTAACAGAAAGGTATTGGAATATAAGCCAGCTAAGGCGAGAGGAAGGTGTAGTTGTAGACTATTACAGCAGGGGAGAACATTTGCGATGTCACCTTGTGGGCGCGTAAAGTAAAGGTCTTATATTCGACTCATGTGTAAATGCGGCGTGTCAGCTCTTCGTGTAGTAATCATTTACACGCCAGTACAGTAGGTGTCTATTGCCGAGGTGTGCATTTGAAGTCACATCCAATATTCAGGTATATATTTAAAAAAATACATTGTCTGGTCGACTAACCGCTCTATTTATATAAATGTACTAAATACAGAGACGTCACACACAGTCGAAGGGAAAGTTAAGTGACACTCAGGTTTAGTCAGAGACTCATAAGACTGTCTGAGAGAGGGAGAGAGAGTGTCAGAGACGGGGGGCTTTAGCCGGTGAGGGCTTCTGTGTTGTGCAGTGTGCACCAGTAATTACGATTACGGCATTGCTGCATAGAGTCATCGACCAACTGCCAACGGATGATAGAATATAGATTAGACGGAACTAATTAATTTCTATAGGGCTATAAATAGAACGTATTTCATTGGACAGATGTAACTGTTTACTTTTTATGTATGTTTGGGGTTTTTGTTGAAATAAAAAAAATGACTGGTTTTAAGGCTGGCCTGCAGGCTGCAGGTGCAGCTCACAATTTCCTTTTTTTGTAAAAACGGAACCGAACATTTGTAATATTTTTATTAAAAAAATATATTATTTGTATAGTTGAGGCTTTGTACTGCCGGCAGACGGCAGTACCGGCATAAAATAGTTTTATAATATTTATCGTAAAATAATAAGCCATTTTTTAACATCAAAAGCACATTTTTTAAAATATAAAAAATATGTAAATAAATATATAGGTTTATATGTAAATATATTGAAACAACTGTCTCTATAGAACTCAACACACTCGTAAAAAAATATTACATATCATAGCAGATCCCTGATCATGATATACACAGGGAACTAACATATAGTTGGTATACAGGTAGTGCTACAGATACCCTGTATTGTAAGCCCGCAATAACATAATTGCCAACTGCCTCTGTATCCTGATTATATAGTTCAAATACTACTATTAGAATAACACAAGTCACATACAACCTTCGAACGATGGGGCCAAGCCCGTGACTACAACTGAGATTCGTACTACGTGCGTGTATCAAATCATCATAGGCACGGTAGTATAAGTACACACAGTCGCATTTCACTATGGCCGCAGAAATTAGAGACCTTGTCATGCATACTGACAAGGTCGTCGAATTCCTAGATGAATCAGAGCTGCTTTTAAAGCACAAGGAGTCCTATTTCCGCAAAAGAGCTTTGCTTGAGCTCAAGTATTCGCAGGATCTCGGTATGTCCCAGAATAGTGGATCAATTGTATAGACGAAATAGGAATGCATAAGAGTGGCTGACTGACTATTGTGGTGCTTTATTTCTGCTTCTCCCTCTTCTCCGTTCGAACACTTTGCCGCGATATCTATCTACACAAACTATACAGATACAGAGAGAGCATTCTAAAAACATTTCTGCGCACATCAA